ATTTCACTTTTAGGACTTTAGGGCTAAGATTTGTAAGGCCCCAAACTTCGCTCAAAGTAGTAAGTAATAAAACTAGTCTAATGTACATTTAAATACTGATATATGTATGTATGTACATATATTTATATTGGGGGTATTCACAACGGTGTCGTAAACAGCGTTACCTCTGGTAATTTTTTTTCTTTTTAGGATGAATTCGGAAATTTCGCATTTTTTTCAATTTGGTACTTTTTTCTGAGTTTTGTAATTTTTTTTTTTTAGTTTTGGTAAACACTGGTCGTACATTTTAAACCGCTAAAAATATACTAAGGAGATTCGCTAGACACCATAAAAGTTATATTATGAATTTTCACACTGTTAAAAAACGGGTGATTGTCTTTGAAACTTTTTTAAACATTTATTTGACCTTTTAAAGTTTACGACATACGACAATACCACACCGTTGTGAATACCCCAATTGTATGTGCATGGGTAGCCCCACACGACATTTGTAAGCTTGTAAGATGTAAATGCATTCTAAATAAATGACAATTTTTAAACGCAAATGAATTTCTGGTAAATAACGCAAACTGAGATTACGCATTTCTGAATACTTAATTTTAATATTTTTTTTGACATTATTATTATATCTTTGAGTGCAGAAAATATATAAATATGTAAATAAACTCACCATTTTGTGTTGATCTCTACATCGAAAATGAAAATATACAACGTTTTTTAAAATAAGTTTGCACCATTTAATTAATTTCTTTACAGAATTTCTTTTCTGTTGGATTCTATAGATACATACATACATACCTATATATCGCACGTTTAATAATAGGCAGAATTATTTCAAAATTTCAATTTTGTGGGAAAACGCAATCAAAGTTTTATCAATTCATACAGTTGGTATACCAAAAGACAGATATACACCCCTATTGCGAGTGTCGACTAGTACTAGATAAACGACCGTTAGTCGATTATCGATTATCCGTGGTATTCTTAAAGTCGTTTTCTCGTTCAATAAGTGCGTGTTAATAGTTTATAGTCGCTCGTCCTCCTACAAACAAACAGTTGTAGAAAAATAAGCGATACAAAAACTATTCACAGTCGCTTATTGAACGAGAAATCGGCATTCGCAATACCATGGCAATGCTATAATCGAATGAGAATCGTTCATCTACTACTAGTCGGACTCGCAATAGGGGTGATAAGACTCATAACTTCGACATTTTTGGGAAGCTTACCCTGGAATTTGAGATTAGCAATTAGTGACTATTTTTGAGACTTGAGATGATTTAGCTTTTCAGGGCGTGTGTGAATCGGTAACAAAGTTCTATGGGGAAAGCTGTTGAATAATGTTTACTATGGTGAGAGTTTTGCCAATGTGCTGCGTGAAATTAAATCTTTTTTGACATTTGGGGTGTTCACAGTTCGTTCCAAATTGTGTCTGAAAATGTAGACGTCTACATTTTGAGACATCTTTAGCATCAAACTGTGAGCACCCCTTTCTAGCAGTCGTCGCAAAATCGTCTCAAAACTTTGCTGGTGTTGCCAGACATTTCTTCCTTGCGTGCATTTTTTATATGTCGCCTTTCGATTTTGTATCTGAGAAACTGTAATTATTTAACTTAATTACCAATTCGTAATAGTTGTTATTTCTTTTTCNTTAAATGCAAATACAGAAAACGTGCCCAAGAAATAAAAAAAAATGTGATTAGTATTGCCATAATGCAACCCTGCTGCGAGGTTGCAAAATGTAGACGCCTAAAAAACATACCTTTGAGTGTGACAAAATGTAGACGGCGTCGTTTTCCAATTTTGTATAGAAAACGTCTTAAAATGTAGACGTCTACATTTTGAGACACTATTTGGTACGAACTGTGAACACCCCAAGCATTAAATTCTTGATAACTGCAGATTTATGCGGCACAAAATATTATAAATCGAAGTGAAATTAATATTTAAGGAAAACATCTACCATCGCTGAGCGCAATTCATCAATTTAAGCTTTTATTTAACGAAAAATTTCACAAATAGAAAATTTTGACTGATCAAAGTAAAAATTTGACACTTCTCGAACGTCAAAATTTTGACAGCTTATAACCATGTATACACATAGGCTGAATTTCTTTATTCATTCTGAACGTTTGGAATAAACTTTTTTGTTTACTTATTCTTTAGAACGTTCCTGATGATATGTTAACGTATATTTCAAAAGCATTCTGTTTATTCCGGCTGTGAAGTGGGATTATCCGGAATGTATAAAGAAACGCAGCCATAATATTGCTTGGCGGTAATAAGGAGTGAACATGAAAATGAAAGCTGAAACAGCATAAAAAAAAAGCGTACGTTACTTGCAAAGTATAAAATAAATATAAATTTTAA